TATGAAGGGATTTGGGTTCGTCTGGACTACCAGAGGACCCCGAAAAAAATTTAACATGTTAAAATGTTACATTATGGTTTAACCCTACAAAATGCAAACAACTTACACATACCATGGAAATCTACTCGTAACCAGCCCTATGACGCACGACCCAAGATTGCAAACCAGAGATCTTGCACTACAGCTCAAACTTCACCAAGGATGGAACCAGAGCAAATGTTGCTCTTTAAATTACTCGGAGGAGGCTTGACATCCTCCCCCAGAATTGTTTCTGATACTGTCCTAGAAGTACTGGAGACCTCACCTGAAAGTCCACAACGTCATTGTTCTTCCCTTTAAAAAAGACATAAAAGTAGACCAGATACAGAGGTGGGGAACTAAGTAGGTGATGGGAGTAGTGAACAGGTCCTACAAAGGTAGACCCTAGCACTTCAGATTATTCTATTTGAGCCATGTGAGAATGGTGGGTGATCTCATAATTGCAAGTTGTCACTGCACAAATATGCCTTCCAAACCTTAATACTGCGTTACACGAGGAGAAGCCTAGGTCTACTCCCTCCTTTTACTCGTTATAAATTCTAGCTATATGAAACGTTCTCCCTCCTGAGATGATCACAGACTTCTCAAAGGATAGTTTTAAGAGCAGACTTGACAAATACGTACCCATCCATGGATTGCCATCTTCTACTTGGACTAGTTGTACCTGATGGGCATCTCGTAACTAACCTACCGTTATCACAATCAAACAGCATCGGTTTATTCTTACTTTTGTTCCAATCATCCATCTTTACCTACAGATTTTGCACTTATGTCTGTTCACACCATGTGGATTATTAATTGATTAATTAATCTAATTTTTTGACCATTTTTCTTCACAGTTCTGTACTTGTATTTTTATTCACTATTGCTTACACTGCAATAAACCGATCTCTCACCTGATGAAATGATAGCGGCTGGCTTTAGAAGCCCTACTGAGTTCAGAAGAACTCACATACTCAGATTACAAGATATACTAACCCACAAACATATCCCAAACAGACCAGAATCAGTGTATTGTTGTGGCTAAACCGCAGACCACCGGAGATTATCAAAGACCCGTAAACATGCTGAGACAACAACAAGGGTATTCAAATAAATCAATTGGTTTATTCAAGCACGTCATAAAAGTATTGGATGTTGGTTACTAGATGTGTTTAAATAGGTCCATCTCAGCAAACTTAGTTTTAGCGTTGGTTGTGTTTAGCCTGGCGTCGTGCTTACCAGATTACTGTTATCATGAATATATTCCGGTTTCTTGGAGATGCTTCACATTTTGCAGCCATTATAATTTTACTACTGAAGATTTGGAAAACACGGTCTTGTGCAGGTATAGTTCCATGAACGCAACCAACGCTACGTTTCAGGTCTGTCAGGACGTAGTCAAATTGCATTCGCTATTGTATTCACCACACGTTATGTTGATCTTCTGACATCTTATGTGTCTCTATACAATTCTCTCGCAAAGATCATCTTCATATTTTCATCTTATGCGACATTGTATTTAATATATTTTAGATTCAAGGCTACATATGATGGAAATCATGACACGTTTCGTTTGGAGTTCCTTATTGTTCCATGCGCTCTACTAGCATTGATTGTCAATCATCGTTTTCAAATTATTGAGGCAAGTCTTAATAAATAGTGCTCAACCTTACCATAGTTGTTGTGGACTTTCTCCATATATTTGGAATCAGTTGCCATCCTGCCGCAATTGTTTCTTATTAGCAAAACTGGAGAAGCAGAAACCATCACTTCTCACTACTTATTTTCGCTTGGTTCTTACCGTGGTCTGTACATACTCAACTGGATATATCGGTATTATGTCCAGAACTATTACGATTTGATAGCCATCTCTGCGGGTGTTTTGCAAACTTTACTATATTGCGATTTTTTCTACTTGTACATAACTAGAGGTATGTAACTATCTAACCACGTGATTTTTTAGTTATTAAGGGCAAAGCTTTTGCTCTTCCAGCGTAGTAACGTGACCAAATGAATAGGCCATCCCGATTCATGATAATGCTATAGTATGAACTCCGATTTCTTTTCACTTGTTTCTACTGTCGGATCTGGGAAGCTCCAAAGTACTGTTTAATCGAAGACTCCATTTGTGTTCACTGCATCAGTGGTAAACAAAATACAGCTGGTCGTTTGTCTTATGCGCTCTTGTTATTCTAGCATGTACTTTACATCTGAATAGTATCAAAAACTTTCTTTTTAGCTCCCCTGTGATTGATTTTTAATAAGCTTTTATCATCGCTTCCAACTGGGCCTTAGCTTCATTCTATGGAATGTACTATTAACTCAGTTTATGCTATTTTTTTATTTTCTGTTATCCTAAATTTTCAGTTAAGCATTTGGTTGCCGCAGTAAAACTTATTACAATAAAACGACACAAGTTATGTTTTCGAATGCTTTCACTTTAGTCATTCTGAGGTTTGGTCGTAATTCTCGGGTCTTCCGAGTCGGTACATACATTGATATGTGTCGTAATGCTCGCGGCATCTCGTTTCATCTGGATACTAGACATGGTGATCCAAGATGAAAAGCGACGGTGGACTGCTTACTATTTTGTTGAAGTAGATTGCGTGCGGATTACTAAGATTTTGTCCTCGTAGTGTTTGAGGTTGCTCATGACTAGTTTCATATTAACTCTCAACTGGTCGTCACAAGGTCTGGAATTCACTGGTACAATTATCGTGATACGTTTATAACCGCAATGTTTTATGTTCGTATGGATCTCCCATACCATTGCTCTTCCAGCAGACCATAGATTGACAATCATTGGGTTCTCCATTGTAGGGACGTTTTTGTTGGCAGCTTGAGATATTCATGAAACGTTAACTTTACTAACATTTAAATTAATTTTGGTATCATTTACAGACTTAGTTGATTCCAATAATTCATGGAGTACCACAGGACTAGGCCATTTGTTAATGTTGGTTGTATTTATGGACGTGATATAATTTGTGAAGAGTACTTTTCTCAGTTTCATTGTCCTCTAGGTTGAATTTGTAGCCAAGAGCTTTGAAGTATCAAACTTGTAATACATCCGATGACATTCACCACTGACGTCTTGATATCTCTACTTTCAAATCAAATTAAAAATGAACCAGATACGAAAGTTTATGCAGTTAGCGTTTGGATTATATTTACAGTTGATATTCCAATCAAATAGTGGGGATGATAAGTCCGGTTTAGTAGCCTTCAGACATAATTAAGCTAACACTCAGATGATCGGATGGTTTACACGGTAAAGATTAAAGACATCAGAATTGCAAATAGAATTGGTCCGATTCTTGTGAATCATCTACCGACCCTGCACTTGAGTTACACTTCTGTTTGGTACTCAGAATCTGCCTTGAAGAGTTGGGTGAGCCTAATTCCAAACAAATGGCGCACTAGCCTATCCTTGGTTGTTGGCTACCGTGAGATAACATCTTGACGTTGCTTCACTGCCTTTTGGATTAGATCTTTAGGTCAATCGCTCAAGGACCCCCAAAGAAACTGCCTACTCCGGTATTGCCACCTGAGATCATTTTGGTTCACATAAATGGTTACAACTGAGAACTGTACTTCAATATGAATTCTCACGATTATATGACAGCGACAACCTACTTTACTAAATATCTGTTCCATTCCACTCTTGTATACTCTCCTAGTCTTCAACTCACTCAACGGCTCGATTATGGTGGGAATCTAAACTATCGCATCACTAACCGGTCGGAAGCTGCCAAATATTACGCATCACCCTTTCTGAAACTCCGTGTATCGTTCGAACTGACCTCTTTCAATATTCTCAAATTAATTGCATATCGAACAACAGGTAAGGCTGACTGTATCTTTGGGACACCTTAAAATCGATGTTTGTTGCCTGAGACTTGCTCAAGTCTATTAAAGCACTATATACTCACTATTCATTTGCCGATTCCCAGAGCTTGTTTCATGTACATTCACTGGGGAACCATGTGGCATCTCCGTCTGATTTTGCTGCCGCATTAAACGCTAGGACTGAGGTAGAATCTATAGGCTGGAACGCTATAAGTGGTCATTTGTACGCCGGATTAGGGAGCTCCATCGAAGTGAGTTCATTCTCGTTACTACCTACACCTCGACAGATTGAAACCAGAATGCTATCAAGGATTAATTCTACCACCAGTTAAGTGATCTCCAGAAAGCACATTCTACAGATATTGTAGTATTGACGGGAGATTCGAATGTACAGACCAGGCATCTAGATACCGAGAGTCGTTTGGTTGCCTATTAGCAACTTGTTGGACACAGGTCTACTGCGACGTTACAGACTAAAGCCTGTTTCTGGCTATCATTGACTGACGGCACAGTCATCGCTGTCGTCCCTCTCTGCATGTCGAGTCTGGACTCACTGACCGCATTACAACCAGCTACCGTTGGCGTGGTTGTGTACAGTGCTTCAGCTCTTTATAGAGTACTTATCTGGACTTGGACCATCCCTCGTTTGTGCTAATCGTATTTTACGCCTCAGTGGTCAACAGATTCATCGTTCTAAGTATATCGATGTAAACGAGTCGACCGAAGCTTCTATTGCAACCGAATATCAAACTGGGACAAGTTAAAGGCTAGATATCGACCCTCTGACTACATTTGTATGACCTCATGGGAATGGTCAGAAAAGTTGCTTGCTGATTAGCTCTGGGTTTATACAGGCTCCTTACAACTCGTCATGGCACATCAGCATGCCTCCGCTGATCGCGAGGACGGTGTGTCGTCCACCTTCGATTCCTATCGCAGATGTTTTCAAATGACACTTCAATCTTGCCATGTTTTCTATGTTCAGCATTACTATAGGCTGGATTACCACTTCTAGATCTTTAAGTTAGTTTGTATGGTTCAGTCGTCCCACCTCTTCTTGATGAGTCCACCGATTGACTCGTTATTTTCCTGATACGATAGGCACCGTGTGGTGCTCTTGATACCTAGGAAAAATATTGACTAGAATTTGGGCTCAGTGGACGTTGTACGCCTCTATTGATCTGCTGTATTTTAAGGAAGCACGAATAGTTGGTTAACTTCAAGTAGCAAGAAAATAATATGTGCCGTTCCATAAAGTCAGAGTGAAAAGCCGCCAAACCAAATATCCAGTTGTGGCATGATAAGTGGAAGTCAGCGGAAGCGCTAACACTCGTAACCAAACGATAAGTAACCCGGCAAATGAATATTTGATCATACAAAAGCGGTTTCGAAACGAGATCTATAAAAAATATCCAAAACTAACCACAAACATAGAACAAATGTCAAGGAACCGGAAAAATTGCTCTAAAATTACCGAACTTCATGATACGAGTTCTCAAAAAGCTAACGTTCCTCAATGTGAATGGGAAGAGTTCTACTTTACACATATCATTTATCAAAACAAAAGGATAGAGTTTCGTATGAAAGATTAGAAGGCGGAAAGAATCTAAATAGGAACGATCTCATAGGTTTTGGGAAATTCGTCTGAGTTCCTGTTAACCGATTCGACAAGCATCGAAGTAGAAACTTGAGCTCACAAGTTGTGTGGCAGAATTATAATCACCTGCTAGTATCATGTCATATAATGCGCGCAGTTCAGATTCCACAGGTTGAGAATCAGGATCACGTCTGGGATAAGATGTTTCGTTTAAAAGTTTTCCCATAAGATAATGAAGCCAGTAAAGATTGGAACTTGGATGAAAGGGGCGCCAATCATTCCTGTAATACAAAATAAATAAGATATTCAGTATTATGATAATGAGGAAAAGTTATAACTGTAACTGCAACCTTGTGCAGGCCCTCTACTCTAACACTACTGGTCGAGTCGAAATCTATGCGGAACTCTTATCGGAGTCGATAACTTCAAGTGTTCATCAGGGTTGTCTGCGTTCCCCACTTTTATTTAACTTTGTCACATACATCCCTTTAGAGTTAACGCACTCATTGTCAGACTTCCCAAAGGTCGATCTTCTACTAAAATATTCACTTGTTGACTTAAAGTACACAAGCGATATAGTTCTACTTGGTGCAGACGCTGACAAAGTGCAGCCTTTTGACCACTAAACAACAATGCAAGCATGTTTGAGATGAGATTCTCACCTCCAAAATGCAGAATGTTGCTTTAGGATTGACCTGCATCAGCGCTTGAACTTATGATAGAAAGTGAAGTGGTTGAGTACATCGACCGATTCAATTATCTTGGAAGTTTCATTGTTCCCGATGGTCTGGTGTCTGACGAAATCTTGGTACGAATTCAGGGAGCTCGATTGGTCTTAGCCAACTTGCGCCACTAATGGAGTAGGCAAGGTATTCGTTTGCCAACCAAAGAACCAGTTTATAGTGCAGTAGTTTGCCTCGTTCTACTTTATGGGTGTGAAACATGGCCATTAAAAATAGATCTTCGTAGGCTACGGGTATTCGACTATAGGTGTCTGCGAAGTATTGTCCGTGTATTTCGGGACCACCGAGTAGACGATTCCTGGCTTGGGAATATGGTACTAGGTGGGGATGGCAAATCAATTAAAGAGGTAGTAAATCTTCATCAACTGACGTGGTTGAATCATGTGTTCAACTATTACTTACCTTGACGTTGAACGATTCCATTAAGCCGTCGATAATCGGAATGACCCAAGTGCAGACTTTGAGTGACATGGTTCAGAATTGTTCGTAATGTCCCAAGTGTATCAACTCCTTGTATCCCCTTTAGACGCTGAATCACGGAATCTTCACTTTTCCAATATCTAGTCTTTTCTATGTTATGTTTGAAATATTTTGTGTTCACCATATATACGGTGAATTTCAAGACATGAGACATCAATAAATGTGAGACGTAACTTGGAAACAATACCTAGTCATAACAAATTTATGGATCATTGGGACTGAGTTTTTAGTACACGTTCAGTGTATAGCTCCCAAATCAAATGGTTTATAACTAGTCTGTTTTCACTAATTTATGACTTCTGAAGGTTTATAAATAGATGTATCGCGGGGTGGAGTGCTCATCCAATTGTAACAAATGCGTTAATGGCTACCATCACTAGATACTAAGAAAGTATTACGAAGCCTAAATGCCCACTAATTCTGGGAAGTTATGCATGTAAATATACGACGAAATGATTTTCACTTTAAAAAAACGTATGAAAACAAATGTCACTTATAGCATACCCATTGTTTTTGCGCATTATACGGTAAATGTCAAATTGATAATCCCCTTCACACTCAAAAATTTCTGGTGACTCTGACATATCAACGTAAACAATGTTGCCTTCTAAAAATTAAAAAATCAGAAGTACACGAGAAGCGATGTAATTTCTTTTCAAGCTACCCAAGGAAAAAGGAAGTAATGTAAATGCTAAATTTAAGCCTGGTGGCCCATATAATGCCGTCTGATCACTAAGTAGTAAGAAACTGTTTTGTGATGTGTGAGATGTCGAATATTCGAAAATAATCGTTGGTAAACATTCACGGTTCCAAAAGAAAACATCCCATTGGAAATCTGCCTCCAATTTGTTTCCGGTCAAAGGAAACTTACTGCTTTTAATTTAATAAGTAACTTTTAACAATAAAAGAAGGTCCAATCCCAGAGTATGAGATTTTTAGAGACAATCGATTGTGGTAATACTTTGTACTGAATGTATACAACAACAAAAATATCAACTCACAACAATAGTTAGCAAGATTCAATGTTAAACGTGAGAAATATAACTAAGTGGAACGCTTTTGCGAAACTTTAGTCATTTTTTCAGAAACTAAATACCGCTTAGTACTACTAATGGGATTAAGAATGCGAGAAAGTTAGACAATATGTACATCATACGGTTATTTCAGTCTTATCACTACCTTCAGTATAGTCAAACCGTTTAAGCTTCAAGTGAACTAGTAATAAGATCAAAGGACTGTATTTCTTACCAGGTTGTTGTATTAAATTTCGCCATAACAATATTTATGTATATTAACATTCTCAAGTCAACCCAACAAACTGCCTAATGACTATCCTAGTTCTTGAATAATTAAATAGTATGCAAAGCAGTAAGTCCCAGATTCGAAACCCTCGCCATCTACTTAGGTTTAGGCAATACGGTAGATGATTAACCCTTACACCTAGTGTGCTTAGTGAATGAGTCAACTTGTGAAACCCTGAAAAGTAACAAACGGTTACAACGAAATCCATTTTGGTGCAGAATACATTACTAGTTTTTCACTACTTTAGTTAGTATGACTTGATCTTTATATGGATTAATTTTGAATTCTATTTGGTGAAAAATCATATATTAAGGACAAGTTCCATGTGATCCACGGGAATTAGCATCTACGCTTTGTTTTATCTCTAGTCCTCACTGTTGTTTGCGTTTATTCGGTATTTTACTTTAATAGTAAAAAGGCGTGTAAAATTAGGGATTAACTATTCTGTCTAGAATCGCGTCTATAGCTGGGCTGCACCAGGGTTCACCTACGGCTTTTCCCCCAAATGCACTAAAACGGCCGAGGGTGGAGGACGTTCGCTTCCCCTCAGTGCCTTCTCGTGACTGGAGTGTTCACTGAAAAAGTGAGGATGGAAGGCGAATGTCCGGTGCTTGAACCAGACTGGTCAATATTGCAGGAGACATCTAAGGGAGTTGGAAAAGTCTGACTCCAAACCACAAATCACAGTATCTCCCGACGTTGCTCAACTGTCTCGTGGATGATGACTACGACTTAAGGAAATACCCCCATAATTGATATTCAACTATTTAGTAGCATTATTCTTATTTTAGATTCCATCACTTATCTATTTACTTTCACTCCCATTTTGTGTATTACTTTCCTATATAAAGGAAATCAGGTCACCAACTGGTCGACAGTTGAATGCTACCACTGAATACGAATTTCGAATAAGCCTTCCTGAAACCATGTGTCCCATCCAAACTAACCTGTTTAGTCGGGTTATGATAGTCCCATGCTGTGAAAAGAAGTTGTACAGGACTAGTGTCTGTCGATTATTTACGACTCTTTGGTTGAGGTCCTAGAGTGCAACACAATTGGCTTGACATGTCATCAGACATGACTCATAACGGTCAGTGGTGATCCTGCTGTTATTCCTTTTACTTTCTCCATATAAGTGAGAGGACCTTGTACTGAGAGAATTTTACCTGGTTGTATTCTTCCCAGTAGAACTGCTTTTTCCATAATTCTTTGCTCTATTCACTTATTGTTTTTCTCTTTATTATACTCATCTTCCTTCGTTTATCTCTTTACAACCTGACTTTCTTTTGTACCAATATATGTTCAAATAAATAAATACTATAGCTATTAAAAACATTCATATGATATAAAAATACTCATTAAAATAGACTAGGTACTACCTGGAGTAAATAAGATACAAAAAATCCTTTGATAGTGTTCCAAGTATAATAGTGAATAGAACAAAACATTCTATATGCGTATCGAGAAATACGTAAAAAATAATCCGTACCATGACAAAGACGGGATACTGTGAAATCAATTATTGTAACTTGTATTCCTTCAGTGAAAACGGCATAACTCACTCCCCCAACACGATAGCGCAGTTTCCATTGTCTAGTAGGTCGGACCAATACATTATGCCAATGTAAGTCTCTATGTTCAAATTGAAGAGCAGATTCAGCGGCAGCCAAGGACAATGCTATCTGTTCAATCACAGAACGAGCTTCACGACAAGTGTTGAACTTCATAAACACATAAATGTAACATCGATGAAAAGCATGTAGTACTAAAATCACTAAGATCAACTGAGTATACACAAATAATAGCTGGGAGTACATTTTTCATGTTTATACGTGATAATACTGCTGTGATGAAAGATTCTGCGTATAACACAAGTAATATCCAAATTACCACTTAATTAAATTACTGACGAGATCTGTACTAACATATATAACACCTGATTCAATCAAAACTTCTACTTCCCAGGATACTGTCCAAACACAGTCAAGAGTATTGTTTACCTATTGATGTTGAGTTCAAACTGCATATGTAACCACAAGACAAATATTTTCACTCAGCTTTAAGAAACATATAAATAGCAATGGTAAGTAAACTATGGTAAAAGTTTCTAAATAAATGTAAATCATTGCGATTTGAGACTGTGAAAACGAGAAAGTCGGTCCTCAGATTGGGAACAGTGAGTATCAAAGAAAGTGAAGTCCACTAAAATTATTTTGGTTCATCTAACCTTTTTTCACTTTGTGTCAACAATCTCGTTCGGGGCCTTACTAGATTTACTGCCAGTTCTAAGCCCGGATAAAGGAGGACTGGGCATGGGGCTAGAAACCCCATCTCGCAGAAAAGAACCTTGCTCAAAAAACGCTAACCAGAAAAAACAGTTTCACCATCTAAACTTTTCCTTAGAAGTTGGGAGTTCTTCATTTTGAATAGTTATCACACCTCATGGCGATAGCCGAGATTCTTAGAAAATCACGAGGCCGATGCCGCTCCTGACAACCAGAGCAACAGTTAATATAGGTACATAGGATCTCCGCACAATGTAGGAGACCGGGAGGATCATTCTAGTAGCGGCAGAAATGATAAGATATAACCTGTCGACTCTTGAAACAAGCAAAACCCATTTGACGTAAGCTGCGGGAGAGGTGCTGTTGTATTCTGGTCATGAAGAAAACGCCTCGCATACATAAGAAGTTGCACCGATGCTCTCCAAAGAAGTGCGGAAAGCACCTATGGGATGCGAATCTCATGGACCCATGATCCTCGAATCATCCTTCAAAAAAAGAAAGAACAGATTACAATGAATATCACCTAGTGCTATGGGCCACTAACGATAGCAGTGAAGGCGATAAACATCAGTTTAATGAGACTGCAGTCGATTGTAGAGGTACCTAGGGAAGGAAATGACCATACTGATGGGAGACCTAGTGGCCAACGTCGGAATGGACATCATATATGGAGATATCATGGGACGATATTGACTAGGAAATAGAAATAAAATGGTGAGGGATTTGCAAATTTGTGTTTTTAACAAAATGCTTATAGGTCTCACTGGACCACATTTGAGAGAATCTGGTCGATCACATTTGCATCAGAAGGTTCATGGAAGACATAGCAAAGAGAGGAGTTGTTATAGCCTCAGATCACCACCGGGTGGTGGCCAAGTTGAAACTGAAGCTAAAGAAGCACTGGACAGAGAGCATAACAAACGTCTAGTGTAGCTTTCCTTAGAGCTACCAACAAACTCAGAGAATCCAAAATAGCTCTCAGAAATAAGTCCGAGGCCTTACAAAATCTACTTAAATGAAAAGAAACTACTATGGAGAACAAACGAAAATGAACTAAAGAAGCACTAACTTCAACATGCCTGGAGGTTCTGGACCACACCTAGAATCTTCATAAGGAATGGATCTCTATCGAAACCTCATCGGACATCAAGGCAGCACCTACAGACCTTCCTGTAGATGTCACTCCATGAACAATTGAAGAAACCAGCATGTTCATCAAATAAATCAAGACAGGGGAAGCATCATAACCTGACAGCATACCAGCTGAAGCACTGGAGGCAGATACAGAGGTAACTGCAAAGATGCTCCATGATTTCTTCAGAAAGATTTGAGCGGGATGACAAAACCGACAGACTACATAGAGAGATACCTCAGGAAATCAAAGAAAGGAGACCCGGTTAAGTGGAGCTACGGAGGCGTAACACTACTACTAGTACCAAACAAAATCTTCAACGAAGTGTTGTTGAACCGAATGAAAAATCCAGTGGACGATCAATTTTGATACGGATCAACCATGTACCGAAAAAGTCGAGACACAATGGATAAGTGTCGAACAGTCAATTTAATGGAACTAATCACTAAACATCAACTTCCTTGACTAAGAAAAAGCATTTGACAGGGCAGATAAGAGAACATTATGGAACCTCTTCGACACTGGTGTACCTAAGATGGTCATTATCATACGGAGTTCCTACGACAGACTACAGTGCAGTCCTGCATAGAAGGCAACTAACAGATGCATCCCAAGTGAAGACCAGTGTCAGACGAAGCTGTTTACTCTTTCCTTTTTGTTTTGGTAGTTGACTGGATTGTGAAAACGTCCACATCTCAGTTGACAGTTTGGATGTAGCTATATGACTGGTTTTGTAGATGTTCTAGTTTTTTCTACTCCATACACAGCAACCGGTCCAGGCGAAGACAGTCAGTGTAGCAGCAGCCCCTGCAGCACCAGGTCTCAACATTCACAAAGAAGAGAGCAAGATCCTGAAATACAACACAACAAACTCCAACCAAATCACAATTGAGGGAGAAGCTCTGGGAGAGATCGAAACTGTTATGTACCTGGGCAGCATTATTGATAAAAGCGGGGGACCTGGTGGAGATACGAATGCATAACTTGACAAAGCAAGGGGAGCATCCCTATAATTGAAGAACGTCTGGAATTCAAAACAACGGTCAGACAACACCCAAGTCAGAATGTTTAATACAAACGTCAAGATAGTTCTACTGTACGGAGATGAAACTTGAAGTACTACAACTATCACCCAAAAGGTACAGATATTTATATACAGCTTTCCGCGCAATAAACTTCATATCCATTGAGCAAACATTAGCAATAACCTCACTTAAGCAGAGAAACAGCTTCCAGCTGAAGAGAAAGTTAGGAAAAGACGTCGGGGCTAGATAGACCAAACTACGGAAATTGTCAAACTGCATCAGATGGCAAGTCCTAACCTGGGATCCTTAGGGTAAAAGAGAACGGATACCAGATAAAATACTGTGTCGAGAATTAGAGGCATACATCAAAATAATGAATAGCGTTTGGAAACGACTGAGATCCCAGAACAAAGTAGATTGGAGATTTCTAGTCAGTGGTCTATGCTCTATGAGTAACAGATGTTTGTGCTGACGGTTAGTAGTGCTTTGGTAAGATAAAAATTCACGGTAAAATTATTAGTGGGCATTAAATGGTGAGATAGTACGATTAGTATATTCCAAAACGCTATTTAGTAACCGGTACTGTGAAGTGGGTTTTTCTAGTCAGCAAATTAGAAACACTATAGATCATAACTCCTCTCTTTGTTAGATTGCTCAAAATAAAACCTAACATTGAGTCGGCGAGCAAGATGATAGTACACAAATACCCCGAGTCACAGGAGTTACAACCAGAAAATCTGGTGGTCTGAGATTAGAAAGCTGGCCAGATTTGGAGACAAGAAGTATAACTGCCAGCCGTATAGAAATTCTAAATAAATGGACTTAGTATACAGTTGACGTATGTGTTACTACAATTACGCAGCCTTGCAAATTCCATGTAATTATACTTACTCGTACATTGGAAAGTGGTTCTCCAGCGAATTCAGACTCTAAAACCATCCATTGTTGTTCAGCAGGTAAGAAGTCCAGACATTCGTTATCTGAACCCCGTTGGTTTTCATATTTTCTCCAACTTGAAGCTAAAGCCTTAGGTAGTTTTCCTCGAACAACAGTTGCTCTAAAAATGAAGTGAGGTGGTGTACAAATATTTACCTCTTTAGCTGAGCAAAATTGACTGACCGGTTACGTCGATACTTGTATGCAAGCTCACTTAACTTCCTAATGATGATTCAAAATAAACACCTTAGACTTACTGCGATACGAACACTTCAGGATAAACTTCTCCAAATTTCATTTGCTTCTCACCATTGACAAGATTTTCTCCATCCACAGGGAAGATTTTGACCACATTGCCTTTCGGTGACTGAAATACTTCACCATATACACCCTCGCCAATTTTCACCATACTTTCAATTATTCTATGAACAAAATTATGAACTTATAAGTGAGTATCATACGTGCGGTCAAAATATTCATCGAATGACTTGATCTCAGTTTGGCCGCATAACCGCAATAATTTTTCCAGGGGATCACCCACTACAGATTGATTCTGAAAATTAGAAATTATTAAGGGAAAGTAGCTAATTCAAGAAGCTTATAATCCACTAAAATTATCAATTGTCATGAAGTATAGAAATATGGTTAGAGTGAATACAAAGTCGAAATGCTGAATTACGTAGACCTGTAAACATTCTGTTTTAAGACAAATAGCTGATATGAATCTCGAAGCGTCACTACAAAGTGGAAATTAACATACAGTAACTAGGCTAGGCTATTGACCACTCACATAACATCGATAATGGACATTTTAAACCACATAAATAAAGTTCTTACTTACAAGTAGTGAATCGGAGGATGCAGGAGAAAGATCGCAGCCATAAGACTGGCCTAATTCTTGAACGTCGAACTCCATGCGCCTTCTGTTTAGTCGCTTTAGCTTAGCTGCCTGATCTTTTCCAACTGAACTAAACCTTCTTGGAGAGAACAAGGGTAGCAACTCTCTTGAAGGTTTTGTTTCTGTCTGTGATCCATCCGCCAAACTGCTACTACACGAACCGACGACTGAGTCAGACTGTATACAAGAACAAGACTGAACTGGGAAACGTTCCAGCCTAACCTGTAATATGGCATTCGGAATAGTTTGAATGCTGCGTCGGTGACTGCTTCGCAAAGTACGTTTTTGGATGGCAACTGGACTTGTTTTGACACTACACGAACGTGTTAGCCGGGTGGTAGTTTCACTTGAATCTCCAGGTACTTTAAGTCTTCGAACAAGCGTTGAGACATTTGTGGATTCATTTATTGTATTCATTGGATGGATGCTCCTTAATGGAAGTACTCTAGACTTAGATGGGGAACTGTTTTTCGGTGCCGAACAGAGGCCATTGTTCTCTTTATGCGATGAGGTTGAGTCAGATCGCCGTGGACGCTTAGCTTGACGCACACAGGTATTGGAGTCACAGTCGATACCTACGTTACGCTTAGAGCGGTTGTTTGGCAAATTCCTAAGTTGATAACCCGACTCACCTACCATTTCACAATCCTGAAAACTATGTTTAACTAAAAACACAAGTTCACCAACATGACGTCCAAAGACCATTTCAGAGCGTAGTAATTTCCGTGCATTTATGGATTGCCTAAAACACAGGATTCATATATTAGTTACATCGAAGAGTGAATTCTGTGCAGTGATCACACAGATTATGAACTTACAGGACCCTCAGCACCTGGTTGGCGAAGAAGTTGCAACGCCTTACGATTGATTTGATGCACCGCAATACAGCATATCTTAACATTATGTGCAAACCATAGAGAAATCAGAAAATAGAATTTTACTTCAGAAGGAACCTTTTGGATTATAGTGACTCCTTATTACTAATCACGAGACAATCCAGGTTGGTCGAAATAAACAAACGTCGGCGGAAAATTAAATGTGATCAACATTATCACATCAACTAAGTGTATCATTGACCGGGACAACGGTCATGTATACAATGAATTTATGATGATGTAGTTTTTATTGGATTTCGCGAATTTTGCTGTGACTGTAAGCTTTATTCAACTTGTTGTGCTATATTACATCGGGCAAGTGTATTATATGCTGGGATGATTCCCTCAAGTTATAGAAAACTTAATAATACTCGTGGTTATTTTTAATTATACCGTCAGGGAATAATGGAGAAAGATTTCAAGTTAAGTTTGATTCTGGCAGTTGTGCTGTAAACCACATTTTGATTTCTAAATGACTGTAGTCTTCAATGTGGGAGAAATATCGTTTATTTCTTTTTGGGTAAATCTTATTAGCTTCAAGTCTTTTTGGGGCTATATAGGTTTAATTATTCATAGTCAGCAACCTAGATAAACATGTCGGTTCAAATGAAACGACAATTGCGAGACCTTTCCAGTTTAGTACAATTAATTGTCGTATAATTCAGCTTAGTCAATACAATAATAGTACTTAAGGGGAGTGGTAAAGTACGTAAGTTTGGTAACTAGGGCTACTTAATTTTTCATTGCCGTTAGTATCGTTGAGTGTCTAAATTAGAAAACGATCAGTAGGAGATTTTGTATACACTACTTTGTTACTAGATACCGGAATCTGAAGCTGAGAATTTACAACTTCTGCAGTGCATAAGAAATCGGGGATGTGACAATGATGTGTCATATTTATTGCATTCCCCCCGCCCCAACTTACCACTAGTTCACTTCATTAATAAATTACAGGTGATGCACCAGTGATAAAATAGTCCACAGTTTGGAAAAAAGGTGATAATTATGTTCGGTGTGAGTTTGCAGACCATACGTTCGAGTCTGGCCTTATTTCAAGATAACTACTATTAAACGGTTTGCCTGACTTTAACATCGACAGATGGTTAACCAACTGGCTGTGTTGTTACTTTCTTAGAAAAGAGCACTAGATTGTCCTAGAATGGCAGCGTTCTACATCTTTATTAAATGGAGATGGCCGTGGATTAACAGTAAAAACTTTTCAACAATTGGCACTATTATTTTATCACATACTAATTCGTTGTATATCTTCCCGTCAAACTAGACGCAAGTACATTAGAATACATGAATTAAAGCTAAAGAATAAGAGCTTCACAATACATTATTTTGTACATACTGTGCTTTGCACAAGTTGTGAGAGCTAGTCTAACCTTTAACTAATATCCGTGATATTAGTAAAACACAGTCGTTTTATATATTTACTTACTTTACGTACATGTGTACATGCAATTTCTTTGGATTCACAGCCACTTCCACTATTTATAGGTTGCTTGTTTTACTCTTTTGCTCCAGAACGAATAACAAGGACTACAGCTTGGCATTACCAATTTGAAAGTCGTGAGTGAAAACCTAGTGTAAATAGTGATTCGATATTCCCTTATTAATGAAATCGTTCCTAGATGCATCTGTAATTCTGATTCTATTCCGATTCATGAAGTTAATCGGTGTAATAAGTCCATGAAATACTAGCTTCTTGTTCACATGTTCACATGTAACAAGTCACACTTTACAGCAGTATAGAATATATGTTTCTGTATGAGTGAAGAACCTACAAACTCGGGCTCGTACATGCATTACTACACGGGACAGATCAGTACTTCCCTAGCCTCCCTGCAACTTACACCAGCTAACATGGTGGGTCGTTGTCGGGGATGGAAATGGTTTATGCATATGCTAACCATCTCTGCGTCCAACATCATAATTGCTAACCCGAATGTCCTGTTGTATACGGCCGATTTTTCGGATACACCTGATAGAATACTAATAACATAAAGACGCCCTGTATAGCACAGTACACAGATCTACGTGCTCGCTCCTCATCTTAGCGAACATGTGACGACAGTCCTGTTAACCGTATCAAGATCACTGTCTTCTTCATAGAAGATAAGTACGTATTTACCTAATATAATGCTTTTACTTTCCAAAATTGGAACATATAACAGTGAAAAAATTGGAGTAAAATGACGATATTTAACAGATGCATATCGAGCGAATTTTCATTGATTACTAAGATATAGAATAGGGATATTAGCTTAGCAGGTGCATTTTGTAAGGAATAAACGTCTGTTTGGAAAGAAAAAAGGGGCTTATTATACGGGAAATAGATCTAGCGTTTCGGTGTATGTTATCGAAATGGACAGTGTTCTAGGACCTACCAACCACTGAAACTGCAAGAACGTTATCTAAATAAATAATTCGAATAGAGTGTTGGGGAAGTTAGATCCCCAGAACTCACTTGGAAAAGGACCTAATTCCGTAGTTTTATTTAGAAAATTTGCATTTCTTTGTTTCTGCGCCAAAGGTGCAATTTCCACCATCATGTCACATTTCCCACTTGGAAGGATCCTAAACGCTAATGGTCCCATCAAATGACAAATGAGAGCTGGAAAGTTTATAGTTGATCCATGGGATGTTGACTACCATCCAAAAGGAACATTCGTGATGATGTAGTGGCATTGGACAATAACTAAACAATCCACAATGCTGAACACGAGACTACTCAGAAAGTAGGTATTCAATATTTCACGCGGGGAAATACCTAACGATGGAGAAGGCGCGAACAATGAATTGAATGGACTGGGTTTGATCGGATGTCATGGCTCGGCCATGCAGGCGTGGTCCATCTGAATGTCACCTTATATCTTCTATTCATATTAAATATATTGTTCCCTCTCTAGCCTAACCTTGTTCTACATCATGTATTGGTAATTGATACGATACAGTGAGTTGGTTTATTCGACGGTGTGACTTCCACGTAAGATCTTATAGATTAGGCAGTTATATCATGACAAATCTACAAATTTAGGATTAGGTCTATTATTAGAGCAGCACTAATATTATAGTAGACAATTATTCTACAACAGTGAGCACAATTAAAGAAACTCAACTTATTATTGTTAATCCTTATATCTACCTTAACCTTCTCAGTCGGTTTTTATTTGTGTAAACCTATTATTCTAATAGTCCTTTGATTAATGGTCACATATATTATCGTAATGTTATATCGATTAGTTCTCATAACTTACTAGCTCAATCGATAATAAAAGTTGATCACCTATATCAACTAGCTTTGATGGTTCGTTAACAAGCTTTAATTGCATTTACATGCTTCAGCGACATAGACTTGTTTAAACATCAAGCTCTAGCAAATATGACCTGTAAATAGCGTAAATATACATTGACGAACAATACAATCAAGGACTAAATAGTTATCTGGATCTAATTATCAGTGTTCCTTCACCTAACACCTCATCCTGTTTTAAACTATGCACTATCCTGTAATATCTTTTCTTCTGACCACTGCCTGTCTAATTTCATATTTTCTAGTTCCATTGCCAAACAACAAGGATGACACTTCTCCAAAAACATACGGTGAGTTTCAGCTATAAGTTTTCTGCAACCATAAGCTCATTTTAGATGGCTCGTTCAATAACAACCACACAATTATCTGGATTCATTCAATTGTTCTGATCCGAGCGAGTGGCAAAAACCACAACATCAAGCACCCTGGAATTAATTGCCATACTGCATGTTTTATTCTGGATGCTTTTGGATCATTACTACTCACGAATGGCGTTATATATGTCGTCCATTGAATAATCTAATTTTCAAAAATAACCCAGGCGAGTTCAACTATTTTACTTAATGATTTTTTGTACTTAATATGTATATGTTTTCTAGTTGCTTTTGCCATATATTTGTAAGTGTCCCTAGGCTAAATGCAGTAACTTCCTATGGAATATTTATAACGCGTCATATTCCTGCCTGAAGTCTCACAAGCAGTCTTAACTTTAAAATTATTCATCTGGTCATGTTCATTATTTTTAAATTGTCATATACGTCAACAACCTGCACGTTAACCTGGCCCGTACATACGTTACATTATATCTTCATGTCTTTTAAATTTAGGGATCATCTGAATCGCCTTTAAAATTTATCAATAAACCCATCATAGTCGTTGTCGCTAATCGCATTTGGCTTGATTTATCATATTAGCAGCCTAAAATGCGAACATAGTTTAGATAATAAGATTAAAAATTTAGGTACTATCAACTGCACTAGTAAAATAACTAAATCCCTAGGTAGCTGTTGGCTAAACAAACATTTCAAATCAAAACTCCGTAGCCTACTAGAATTAACACTAAACAAATATTTCTGAATTGAAATTTATAATTAAATTAGGCGTCTCGGATTCTTTAACGTTATAAATTTCTAATAATTTCGAGTCACCTAAGGCAACAATACCTATTTTTCCACTGACTAATCCTCAATCAACACTATAACTAGTTAAACGTAATAGTTTCAGGATATCGTCATAAAGCATTGTCATGACTTGACAATCACGTAATATGATTGATAAAATTAATGAAACTATTAACAAAACCGGTCAGCAAATTGACTTATAATTATCACTAGTGTCTTTTTTCTTTTTTTCTTTTTTTTTCTTTTACCCGATCGAAGCTGCTACCTTGACGCGGTGGTCGGGCTTGCCTATCGTGATGACCCCACCGAGCTATATTGGCTGGAACATATGTTCCTGCAGGTTCTACCATGCCAGGCAGGTCGATTGGCGAACGGTAAGACTAAAAGCAGCAACTCAAGGTCTGAGTGCGAAGTCAAACTGCTGACTGTAGAGAGGAGTGACAGCAGTAAGGTGTTTCCCTCGGACAACAAGCATGACAGCGATGCTGCCTTCCCACAAGGAGGGGTGGGGTTAGAAAAGGTCGACCCTAAAAATGCACACCTCACCTTACCTCACGGATTTCCGTCTCCGGCGGTAAGGCCCCTTGAAGAACAGAGCTAACACGTCAAAAACCTTCCACAAAAAGGCCGTGCGCGACCGGCCTCAAGCAGTTGTCCCTTGGGCTCTGCGGTCACGCTCCCAGGTCGTCAAGACCAACACTAATCCAATTTCCTTTTCAGGTTCC